CTACAAAATAAAAATAAACACTTAAAAATCATAATAATTAATCATAACTTTGGAAAAAGTTTATTTTATACAACATTAAATGTTATAACAAATTAAAATAGCAAAACTAATACATAATGAATGGTTAATAAACATAATGGAATTACTAATGTTATATTTTAAATTTAAATTTAAAAGATATACACTTTAAAAATTAAATAAGCCTTATACCATATGCACAAATCAATGAATTTATAACATTCTGCACAAATCAGTTTACATTATTGACATTTATAGCAATATACTTAGAAAGTATATTGCTATTTTAGGATAGAAAGGATAAAAAGTTCTTAATAAATATATTGTATACACTGGTAAAAGAAAAGTGTATTACTATATTACGGTTATATTGCGATATTAAGTCATTGTTAGTTATAAAAAAGGGTATTATGGGAAGTTTTCAAAAAAATTGTAATTTGCAAGAATAGTTTTTGTTTGAAAGGTCCATGTGTTACTAACTTTACATAAAAGGTCTCTCCGTTAGTAACTTTACAAAAAATCTCCATATTTTTAAAAATTTACATTAAAAGGTCCTTGTTTTTTCAAAGTTAATAGAAATTATCATGTTTTTTTAAAGTTTTATTGAAATTGTGCCTGTTTTGTAAGAATTAACAGAAAGTGTCCATATTATAATTTTAAAGTAATTAACAGAAAGTGTTCATATTCACAATTTTAAAGTAAATAACAATGGGTAATAAACATAATGGATTACTAATTTATATTTTTTAAATTAAATTTAAAAGATATACACTTTAAAAATTAAATAAGCCTATTACCAAATGTATTGACAAAAACAAAATTTAATTGAAAAATATCAATAAAAAAGTAAATATACAACACATACATACATAAAAATATACAACCACACACATAAACAACACATATACACAAATGATTACAAAATATATAAAACGTGTGTTAAAATCAAAACCAACTAACTTGTCCACTTTAAAACAATAAATATCCAAATATATCCAAAACAAATAATAATTGACATCCTTAATTTCTAAAAATAAAAAGCATACAAAACATTCAAAATATCTTTAAAACCAAAGCAACATCAAAATATATTAAACGTCTGTTAAAACAAAATTAACTAATTTGTCCACTTTAAAACAATAAAATACCCAAATATATCCAAAACAAATAATAATTGACATCCTAAATATCTAAAAATAAGAAGCATACCAACCGATCAAAATATGTTTAAAACCATAAGCAACATTATTTATATAGTAAATGTGTGTTATAACCAAAACCAACTCACTTCTCGACTTTTGGAATTAAGAGTGGAGTTTCATCTCCGATTGATTTTCTTTTAGCCTTAGTTGAACTTAAATCATCTCCAGAATTAACGTCATAAATGTCTTGGAGGTTGCGCTTCAAATCAGTTGATATTTTGCCCGGTGTTGTTGCGGTTGATTTATTAACTGTTGATGGTGTAAAGCTTTCATCTGTTTGTGAGATGACATCCTAAATTTATTTTAAAAAAATAAGTATTTAATTGGAACAATTAAATATAAATAAAACTTAAGGAAATAAATTGAAAAACCTTTTGAACAGACTGTACAACATCATCTGATTCCAAAGGCACTTGATTTAAGGAGACAGATTCAATACTCTACAAAAGTAAATGGAAATATGTTAATCGTTATGTGTTTACATAGTCAACAAATATAATTGCTGAACCCTAAAATGTTTTGTACCATAAGTTCTAATTTACTTTCCAATTCTGAAACAATGGATACATCTTCTGTAAGCTTGAGAATGGTGTAGATATTATTATAGTTGTTGACATTGTATTTTGTAATATCTACAAGAAAAGCAAACTTGCGGTTTTTCAACACGTTAAGTTGCACTGGAAATAGTGCATGACTGTCTCCAGCCTGTAAGAAGATTTTTAATAAATATTAACAAATTAAATGTCTAATGATATTAATATATGACAACACAATATACCGCTTCATATATCTTTTTCAACTCATATGCACTGATATCTAACAACCTCTTTGCTTCTCTATCAAAAAGAGTCAATCCGATGGTGCCAGTACCATCTTGTACGTTGATTGGAATTATATACCTTAAAAAAACAATTAGATAAATATAAATTATCTATAATGTTTGAAAGAATTAATATAAATATAAAAGTGTTTACTTGATAACTGTACGAAAATCCGAATTATTGCAACTTGGATCTTTACACTGAACAACAACAGTTTCTGTAATTTTATGAGGGTCGGTATACGAATGATTGTGTTTTGGAGCTGAAGTTATTTTTTTTCCACATTTGTAGCATGCTTCGTAATACCAGTGTAGATTCTGTCTTATATTAACGATTGAAGCAACTAACAAAAATTTCATTTCCTGTATTTAATAGCATCTAAAGTTAGGAAAATACATAATGTAAAAAAAGTAAAAGGATATCAAACAATGCATTCTACCTTCATCGGTTCTGTGATTTCACAAATTGTTTTAATGGGAAAGTGCCTTTAAAGTCATCTATATATGAAGAAGAGTAGCTTTGGAGTGAAGTAATGCTTTTTTCAGATTTACCAAGATTGTCATCAGATTTCAATCTATAATGTTTAAAATGATTTCATAAATCATAGGATTTGTGTTAGTCTAAGTTAAACAAATAACATAAATAAAAAAAACCTTTTCTTGTACTCATTAATTTCAACAATGTCAGAATTTATGAACATTTTGGTTACTTCAAAATGACTTTTAACTTGACCGACTCCTGTAATATTAAAATAGCAAATCAATAACTATTATAGAAAAGCAAATATATATATATATATATATATATATATATATATATATATATATATATATATATATATATATATATATATAATATGTGAATACAAACCATCCCAAATGTTAAGCTTAACAAACTGCATCACTATAACAACACAATTAACCGTCGGGTTCTCTTTTAGGTATTGTGACAGCTGGTATGCTTGAGTTCCAAAGATAGTAACCTTAAGATGTACAGACCTAAATAAACAATGAAAATAGTTAATAGTATTAACCTGTGATTTAATTAAAGATAAAAAATGATTAAAAATAATATAAACTCACTCTATGTTGCTAAGTGTGAGTTTGATATAATGCTTGGATGCTACATGATTTGATGTTTCAAGCGGTCGAACTGAGACAATCTGTCCAATAACATCTACACAAGAATAACACAACTTATAGTATTATTTAATATTAAAACACTAAAATAATAAATGTATAATAAACAACACAAGTCAAAAAATAAATTGGAATAAAATTTAATAACTAACCAAAGAATGTGTCCCGTGGGCATGTTTGTTCTATGATTGAATTAAAATCAATAAACATAAATCCATTCACTGGTCCGGAAAAGTCATCACATTTTTTAAGGATACTTTTCCAATCCAAAGTTATTGTTTGCTTATGACCTGTATAACTAAAACCATTAAGAACAGCCGCCATATTGGGTTTTATAATTATATAAGTGTCATTTTCCTTTAATAAATGACCAAATTTGGAGAAATTCTGATTGAAGACACGAGAATGGTATTGTGTTCCCTGTTCAATAAAATAAATAAGAATAATGTGTTTGTTGCAACATATGTAATATTGAATGGAACACAAAAAATATAAGAAATACAACAAACCTCCTCGTCCTTTATGATCATTTCAATTGAACAAACCGTATTATTTCTTGTAAAGTTCCACATTTTCAGCATGCGTATTTTGATGTGTGAATTATCATCAATTTGATCAATGTTTTTTAGGTAAACTTTCTTCCCTATATTCATTTTCTGCAAAACGATTGAAACCATATAGAAATGTTACCAAATACCATATTTGTAAATTAATATATGCAATCCCCTATCCTAATAAAAGAGCAAATAGCATATTTGTAAATTAATATATGCAATTATTGAATATATACAAAGACATACTAAACTGGTTACTATTTAGTAGAAAAATAGGAAATAAGATAACAGAAAAACATAGTATAAGAATTTGTTGATTGTGTGATTACTCTTTTATATTTCAATCGAAACACAACATTTTATACCGAAATTGCCCCTGCAAGTTACAATTAGATAAGATGACAAATAGTAAGGACAAGTTAGATATGATGAATTAGTAGTAAAATGTTTTTTTTATAATCCATTAATGAAGTATAGTTTTAATTGTTGCAGATTTTTTCAGTTTTAATTATTGACTTTGACCTTATATGAAAATGTTCTGGAGGGCAGAATTCATTTTTACTGAAAATAGTTTTGTAATTTATAGATAATAGTTTTGCTTTAAAACTAAAAATATAAAACCACAGGAAATTTTTTTGTAATTTACATAAAATATATTAAAATACAAAGAAGTATTTGTGCTTTGTGACTTATACTATGTTTACTCTGAAAACGTTCAGACTGTCCCTGTCTACACAATCAAAATGGTTTTATATGAAAATGTTCTGGAGGGCAGAATTCATTTTTACTGAAAATAGTTTTGTAATTTATAGATAATAGTCAAATGTAAATAATGTAAACAGTAAACCTGTAAAGTTTTTAAAATGGAAGAATTTATTACATAAACATCAAAACTATGAAGAATATATGCTCCTATGGGAATTTTTACAAATGCATTAATTTAGTTTGCTAACCTTGTGTAGTGGTTGTTGTTCTCGAGGATGAATATGCAACAAATGATGAGAAAGCGAAGGAAATTATAAGTCGTACCGTTTCTAAAGAGTTCTCTGAAGCAGAATGGCGAAGAAAATAGTAACGTAAACAATGAATTCTGCTATATATTTCGGTATATGATTTTATTAGGTGAGGATTTTTTGTAATTTATTGGCTGGATTGGATATGAACGACTTTTAAATTTCAAATTAACATTTCTGCATAATTATCTTTACATATATTTTGAAAATTCTACAGATTTTACGGATTTCATTCTTTCTGCATAATTGCAGATTTTTCGGAATTCATTATTGACCTTCAGTGAATAAGAAAATCAACTGGAGGGCAGTTTTGTAAATGTGTATGAGGAAAATAGGCGGGAAAAAACTGTATAGGGAACCTGGGAGATTGACACGTGGACATAATGTACTCTTTTATTAGGATAGGGGATATATATATATATATATATATATATATATATATATATATATATATATATATATATATATATATATATATATATATATATATATATATATATATATATATATATATATATGGGTGTGAATCTCCCCATTCGAAATGCAAACATGCTTATGCATTCTCATGAATATGCATGACAGAAAACTGGAATAGTGAGGCTGATCTTATTTTTAAAAAATTTGATGTTATTAATAACAAAGAACTTGCAATTTTAAATACTATATAGCATGAACTTGCAAGTCTGATGCATTTTTTGCAAAAAAAAAAAAAAGAAAGAAAGATCTTCCAAGTTGCACAATTATGCCCGTATACAAAAAATGACCACCTTGCCACTGAAATAATAACATATTACTTTTTTAGTAACTAATCTTCCACTAGCACAAAAAATGATCACATGTACCAAAAGTTTAAATTTGTTTACAAATCACCAACTGTAAATCTTCTCTTCTTCTCTAATAATGGAAATACATAGGATTTTTCAGAAAGTGTATCAAAAACTTGAAATACATTGGTTTATTGTTGGTCATTCCCACTTATTCTCAGATGTAAATAAATCCATTTGACGATAATCAAATATATACAGGGGCAATTTTATCAAAAGCAGTGAAGACAATTCATATCAGTAGTTTCAAATTTTGCCACATCTAATGGTTTAAATTGTTCATACTAAAAGAAACAAAGGTATAAATATAAAATGACACATGTTATCATTTAATTAGGTAGGAGGATTTTTAGGAACAAAAGTAGGAAGATATTTAATTTTTCATAAATGATATTTTAATATACTAATATGACACATGTCATCATTTAATTGGGTAGGAGGATTTTTAGGAACAAAAGTAGGAGGATATTTAATTTTTCATATAAAATAAAGAGCCATCTATTAATACGTACTTGGATGATTAAAATTACAAATATATCGTCCAACACTTGAACAAAATGTTGTCTACAAGTAAAATATTATATATATATATATATATATATATATATATATATATATATATATATATATATATGTATAATTGTACTCTCCTTAATAGTTGTTAATAGAAAAATAATTGCTTAATATAATGCTATAATAAAAAACATTTTTTTGTATTTACCATGTTTAGGAATCAAATGAAGATATGTTATAACATCCTAATTGCAAGAAGTAGCATCCTACTTTTGATTTGAAAACTACAATGTAGTAATCGTACAAAATGTAAGTAAAATGTATAACAGAACAAAAAATAGCAAGGGTTTATAACAAAACAAAAAATTACAAGATACTTTCATTTAGTTATTTACTATAACAAAATATTTTCATTTTACTTTTATTTTTCCTGTTAACACCTCTATAAATTAGTTTTATTTTCTTGCAACATCATACAAATTACTAACCGCGGTATCCACGGGTTATAACCTAGTGTATCATAAACTAATCATTTACGTGAATTCCCATCATCTATGTAGTAGTTATCTATTTCTAGATTAAGAAATTCTTAGATTATGGGAAGTGTTGTCAAATGTACACATTCGTTCGACTTGTGATATGTAAGCATGACTTTCATTAGTTTTGTATGGTTTTTATTTGTTATTATTTTGAATATTTGAGTTATGAGTTATTATTGCTAATAAATGATACATTAAATGGAATACAACTGTCATATATTCACGATTTACATTAAAAAACACTTTTCGTGCACCCAAAAACAAGTAATGAAAATCTCTCCATTTTTTTAAAATAATCCCCTACGCAAAAGATTACTGTACGAAAATTCCATTGTCAATATAAGTTTTTAGACGTTTGATCAATTGACTAAAAAGGCAATTTATTATTTTCTTCTCATGACAGTTTAGCGAATGATGAAGAGCTTTAGTTTGATGAAAGCACCCTTGTGGCAAATCACCATGATAGGTGTTTGGTCCGGATCTTTTGAAAGTATTTGAGAGTTTCTAGCTTTTAAATTTTGACAAAACATTTTAGTTTAAACAAAAAATTTCGTTTTGTAGTACGAACGTTTAGCTTTTAGTCTAAACAAAACACTCCAAATCTAAAAGCTACTTCATATAGCGTTTAACAAAACGCTACTGAGCTTTTGAAATCAATTTTCATAATTACCCTTAAAAATATATTTATATATTTATTTATTTTTAATCAATTGTTCTTTTATATAATTTTATATATTTCAAAAGATTCCAATTACTTTACCAAACACTCATATAACAAATAAAAGTTACTGTTTCCTGCTACCAGCTACCCACTACACGTTACATGCTACCCGCTATCAGCTATCCGCTTCCAGTTAAAAATTACTTTTGCCAAACACACCCAATGTCTTCTTGAGACATTCCATTTGTTATAATTGATGAGTCAGTTACTAAAGTCGATTGAAACAATTCAGTTTTTTTATGAATCCCCGTGATTCATATCGTTATTGTTGGAATATTTCACTTAGTAATGTAGTTTAAATATTATTTACTAAGTATTTTAGAGAAACGATCATTTGTTCAATAATGTTAAAAAAACCAAAAGCAAAAGGATATAATAATCCTTTTACATACATTTAAGTTTAAACAAATAAAAGTTAACCTAAATAGGGTGTTATCCGATCATTTTTTTCGGTTTTGGTTTTGGTTTTGGTTTTTTTTTTTTTTTTTTTTTTTTTTTTTTTTTATCTTATAACTAACCATAACCAAACCAAATAAGATCAATTTAATTGGTTCTAATTTATTGGGTCCTGGTACTTTATGATGAAAGAAAATAAAACTTAATAAATTTCTACCAAATGAAAAAATACATTAATACCAGCTAAACTAGGGGAAAAAATCAGAATGCAACATTTTACTGAGTTTTATGATTTTTTTCTAAAGAAAAATAATAATTTGGGACTATTTTGTAAATTGGCTTAAAATATTAAGACTTTTCCATCGATTTCTTTTAATTAATTGGTACACTTAATTTAAAGATATGTTAAATATGGTTATACATGATAATAGGAGCAATACATGTTTTCAATCGGTATAAATTGTTTGTTATAAAATTATAAGAAATAAATTTTTTGGATGCTTATATAATTTATAATTTTCGATGTAAATTTAATATCAACATGATTTAATAAATAAAACAAAAAACTTTAAAAAAAAACTTAAAACCGAGTTTAGTTTTGACTAAAAAATCAAATATACATACATACATATATATATATATATATATATATATATATATATATATATATATATATATATATATATATATATATATATAAACTTAAAACCTGAATTTTAATTTTACTAAAAAAATTTTTAAAAATAATAATTCGGGATCTAAGT